CTCAACTGTTAACCAGATGGAAAAGTCTGGTTTTGTTAATTCCTGTATTTTAAAATATATCAAATACTACACAAAAAAATGTTGTTTATTCCTGAAATTTAAAATATATCAAATATTATACAAAAAACTGCATTGCTCAAAACCTTTTACTGTATATTCAGGGGTCTCAAAGGCAGAGCTCTAATGGTAGAGACGTTCTAACAAAACATTTAATATTAGAAAAATTCATATTGTCTCATCGTGTGCATCATCACATTGCACATCTCCAGGTGACATTTACAGTGATGTTACTGCCACACTGTCGTGGCCCTGCGTGTCCCCCATAAAGCACAACATGCCCTGACCTTCAGCGGTGTCTGCTAGTGTCGGCTGTTCTGTGCTGGACTGGCTGTCTGCTTCTCCTCCCAGGACGTTCCCCACAGGCGGCACATAGGGCTCATCGATGTCTGGGTCATTCTCATGTTCCATTAACCTGATAAAACGCATATCACATTGGAAAGATTGGGACTAAAAGCCTCAAGGTCTTATCACCAGAATTAGAAACATGTTTTCATGCAACATGGCTGTGACTAAAGTACTACAGAGTTGGATGTTAATGTGTGCATTCAGTACTAGTATGCTGTTATTCTGAGAGTGTGTCAGACTCACCAGTCCATTGCTTGTTCTATTCCCTGGTTCCCCGTGTTAGCCACTGCTTTCTCACTGGAAAGAAATAATTCAATTAAGAACACACAGACGTGAACTAATGTTAGGTAACTTTCACTTCTTTGAAGAAAATCTTAAACCTGGAAACTCTACTGAACAAAAATATAAACGCAGCATCCAATATTTTATCGAATTCTATTCTTTTTAACAAGGGGGAATAAGTATTTGTTGTTCCGACATACAATATCTTTATAGCAGAATGGGCGTCATGGAACAACGTAGCACGCACTACACAGTGAATAATAATGGGCAGATTGAGAGTGGAGTCAAAGACCTGAAATCACAAGCCGGTAACAAATCACACACCTGTGATGCACAAAGTTAAATAAGTTGTTGCTGGCTTGTGAAACGTTGCCTCCCTTTTTCTAAAGGGCTCAGTGGAGTTGGCGGGCATTGTGGGTGGCAGGATTACTTTTCTTGCACACATACATCCAGACAATTTCTGAAGACACTCGATGGGGAAGTTGTGGACATTCACGTGTCCTGACTAACGTGTCAGCATCCAGCATGTCAACAACCTGTTATCAACTGTGGCATCAGGTCATTTGAATAAAACTGCATTTGGAAGTTTACTTTCATATTTACTAGTCAAAGAGGTGTCTGTGTAGTGGCCCATTATCTGATCATTGTCTTTTAAAGCCTCACCTGACCAGGATGTGGATGAACTCAATGGTGGAGAATTTGTCACCAGATGAACGGCTCAACAACTGTTTTGGATAATTTAAACCTTTTTGATATTTTTAACGTGTTTTTGGTTGGGGGTTTTTTGTTTGTTTTTTCTTTTTCTTTTTTAAATCAGAAAACAAGACCATTAGCATGCTGCGTTTGCATATTTGTTCTGTGGATATTAACCAGGATCATTTTTGTTCTGATTTACTGTCACTCACGCTCTGTTTCTTTCAAAGCCCATCTCCAGAAGGCTCTCTAGTGTGGTCAGCTCTGCCATTTTCACCTGAAACAACACCGCTGCGTCAATGAGCAATTCACCAAATATACCTTAAACACATCACTGACACTATTGTCATTTGCTGCTAGTAGGAGGTAAGTCACAATAAATGACCAGGTTCTCCTCTGACCCAACTTCAGCAACTTTAAATCTGAAGTCAATACAACACCTCATGACTTTTCTATAGCTTTGTCCTGTGTAAAGCAGCTACATGACCACGGTAAATCAGAATACAACACTGTGTGAACAAACAGCAACCCTTTCTCGACTATCAGTTTGACAAACTACTTGTTTATTCCGGCTCGCTAGTTATCCAATATCAAAACTGAAATTATTCTGAGAGCTAAAATTAGCATTGATGTGGCTAACGTTCACATTTCGAAAGCTAGCTGGGAAGCCTCGCTGGCTAGCAATATTTAAAGACAATCCGGCTCTCTAATAAGCTCTCTGTCGCTTTAGCTAAAAACGTGTGTTTGTATGTTACACGTAAAGGCACCCAGAAGTGTTATTTTATTTTCGAAACACGCAATATCAGCTAAAATACTCATGAGGATAGCGCTCGTTAGCTACTCACACATCAGTCAACACCGCTTCAACAGTACGGAAACCCACACAGGTCAAACAGAGCGGCTCGAAAAAGCGAATTCGTATTTTAACGCAACAAAACCACTGTATAATCTGTAGACAGTCTATGCACAAAACCTCTTCAGAAATGACTAGCACTGATCATTTTCTCATTATAACAAAGTGATACCACCTTTACATTCATGTGTCTAAAAGTTCCAGTAAGCTATATGTCAAATGCAAGTTTCCATTTCTTTTCTGGTCACACAACATCCTAAAGCTTTATTCCTTCTATAAACTAATAATGGAACCGACAATTACTACCAATAGTTTCTTATATTTACTGAAATGTTGTAAATGTAATTCCAGTGGTGAGGGAGCCTTTTCTAAAGTGAAAGTAACAGGCTTAACAAAGTGAAAGTCATACATTGAAAAAACAAGTGACTTCATATTCACTGTTTTATTATGTAATATATAAATTAGAATATTTGCCTCAGTAACGTAGAAAAAGTAGAGAGTATAAAACACCACAAACTGTGTGTACTTCAGAATTGTGCAATATGCAAATTGGCTGCAGTGCTGCTTGAGTTAAAGTACATCGTCGCTTTCCTGCATTCACAGCCTCCATTTGTGGTGTTTTCAAAGAAATCTGATTTAATCTACTACAGTCTCTGGGTCCTACACATACCAATGAACATTATCAGGTAAGACTGTAACACACTTTCAGTTTCTTTTTCACCTAGCTTTAGATCCATGGTGTTAAATGTAGACAGGTTAAATGTATATACTTGGCCTCACTTACATGGGAAGAGGAAGAAGATGTCCAGAACGGGACGATTTGCAGAAATGACCATCTTTGATCTTTATCTGTTTTTTGTTTTTGGAAGAAAATTGTGATTTCAAGACATCTGTTGAAATAACAGAGACAACATGCGCACGACAGTCATGACCAGGCAAGTATGAAGTCTGTACCCACATGTGTTATACAAGGCAGTAATGACAAATGCAACAAGAATGTTGAAGGTAAGCTGCTGCTCAAATTTTCATTTAGACCTATCGTCAAAGTACCATGCAAATTAAAACCTTTTTTAGAAATAACATGCAAATGAAACAAACAGTGCAAAACAAGCTGAGCAGGTTTTGTGTTTACCTTGGAAAAAAAAAAAAAGAAAAGTTCTTTGACGCATTGTTTTTTGACTTAGTCTTCTTGGCTGCCTAAGATAAAAGTCTCTAATCTGCAAATCAATAAGAAATCCTGATATACCATCTTGCATTGGGAGTCTAAAGTACTCATAATTACTTCTGGGCAGAGATTTTATAGGTATCCAGACCAGCACAGGCAGTAAATTCTGAGTTTGATCTTCTATGGTCCACACAGAAGTATTGCTTTAACATAATCTTTTAGTGTTTTCTCAGTTGAATTGCTTTCCCCCCCCATGCTGTATATATCTGTACAGTTTTTGAAAACGCTGACAGCAGAAGATGCACCAACCCGCTGAATGACGACTGTTAAGAGTGAGGCAGATGATCTGAAGTACTTTAAGGTCAGGTGATGTTTCTTATTGGCTGTTCTCCTGCTTGTATGATTTTTATACCATCCTCATGTGTCCGTGGTGATCAAACAGAATGCAATTTGCTGACTTTTATGCGCAGGTTGGGTCTGTTACATATTTACAGTAAGTGTAATGATTAATTTTTCTCTGCCCCACGCAGTCTTAAGCAGCCCTCATTCACGAGTCAGGGACAGTCCTCAGAGTCTTTCTGCTCACTTCTGTCTCTTCTTTCTCCCACTGACTCTTTATTTGGCTGGTTTCCTCTTCTCTGGCTTCTCTCTCAGAATGACTGACTGAATTGAGCTTCATTTGCAGAATTTGTGTGGTGAGTATTAACTTTTCATACACATTTCAGTGAGATTAATGAACTGATTAGCAATTAAGGACATTTCATTAAGCAATCAGTCCAACAGTATATATTTATTTGTAGACTGTAGGACATATAAAGGGCAGTTCTAGTTTCCATTTTCACAAGATTGTCCTGCATTTGTTTTGTATTTTGCACTGATTAAATATTAACAGTGCACCTATGCTGTAGGCAACTTGACAAACTAGTCAGTGGAAGCACATTCATGTTCTTTGATTAGCAAAATGTTGGTCAGATATCATTCCTTGAGCAATTTTGCAACCTCATTTTTAAGAAGAGAGGCAAAGTGGCAGTTGAGTAAATGTATAAAGTGAATGAAAACTGAAAAAGAGGAAAGATACTGGCAGCAAACATGATTTAATTCTGTTACAGGTTGTTGGATGATGTGTTTAATGGGGCTCAGATAAACTTTTCACATTTCACTTCACTAACAGAGAGACTCCTCAAAATCCTTCTACTTGTTATATCTGCTCCCAAAACTGCAATAAACATAATTTTCTGTGGATTCACATTCTGAAGTTAGTCCACCTTTTGTTAAAAGACTGAGAACATTCCTGCTGTCGTTAAGCCAATCTTGCATTATGAAAAACTTGTTTAAAATGTGGTTCTTGATTTTCTATTGCAGTGTAAACCAGATCAGCCTCTTTGTAATTATTGTGTTTTCATCACATTCCTTCTAATTTCAGTGCAGATTCTCTGAAGGCACTAATAACCTTTCACCGTGCAATTATCTGGTAAAAAACAAACAAACATATATAGCAGGGTGGGCAAAGCTGAAGGAGACAATAGGGGTGAAGGTCTCTTTAGTCTACCCTGAAATTGCTTTATGGCTCTGTTTTTTTACAGAAGGACAGGGTTAAGGGTCAAAGCTCAGCCAGGATACGTGAAGAGAGATTGTGGGAAACTGAGAACACGAGTTGTGCACAAGGAAATGATGCATACTTCAAAGCCATATCAACGGCAAAGTGTAAAAGATTAATTTTAATAGACTTGACAGTAAAAACTCAATGCTGGGAAGACTCTTTGACTTCTGATTCACCGACTGAATGACCCTGATTTTTATTGGAGCCATAAGGGTAAAATGTAATCTTAGAGGCCGTAAAAACCAAGATTAGATGTTGGGTGATATTTTACTTACCCCCTATTCAGTGTGGGTGGTGTTATCACATGAGTACTTACATATAAAACATGTAATAAAATGATTTAGATTCACGTAGTCAGCGACAATTGGCCAAAAGAGGGCAGCATTATTTCATATGATTGAAACTTTTGTCACACTGGTGGTTTGTCACTTGTGATAATGCAGACTATGTATAAGCAGCAGACTGTAACAGTAAGTTTGCAAATTTAAAGCCCATTTAACAAACAAGGGAAGGCCGAGGGAAGGTAAGTTTTGATTGTCATCTGCATGTAATCAAACCAGGAAAAAATATCTTTAGTTTTGTCTCATATGATAGCAGATGTCAGCAGAAAACTGTATTATGAGTTCTGTGGTGAAAATCTCATGGCCTCGCTCTGTGCCGTCAGCTGTGTTGTTCCTGCGGGTCTCACCAGCTGTAACAGCATCTCCATATGGAAAAACTCTGGCTTCCAGTGGAGCTGCTGTTATCTGTGGAGGGACACCTCTTGTCATCGAAACACTGCCGGGGCTTTCTGTAGCTTGTGTACAGTGACACTTTCTATTTGTTGTTTTTCCATTTGGATTCATTTTTCATGCTTGTTTCTGTGCAGGTTGCGTTTTATAAAAAATAAAATAATAATAAAAAATAAAAAATAAAACTAATCTTATAAGTCCAGTTTAATTGTCTGTCTGCTTCTTTATCACACTGTAAAACACAGATTAAGTTGAAGGACACCTCACTTGCAATACTTTTGAAACCAAAACTAAACCTACATGTGAATGCAAAAGCAGCATTTCCAGTAAATGGTAAGAAGTGGCTGGGACTTTCTCCATCATATGAGTGAAGAAATAAGTAATTTAATATTTTATTTCATAAGTGCCATGTAACCAGAAGTCCCCAACTTACATGGGTTTACAAGCAAATACTAACATTACAACAGGCTGAAAAGTGTTAGTTTAAACACAGTCTAAAAGCTAAGAAAAATAACTGGACCTCAGAAACACACAATATTAATAACGCAAAGGGTTGTTGGGTTTCTCGCTACTATTTTGTAAGGTCTTCATCTTACTATGTGTCGTTCCTTGAGATGACACATGTTGTGACCTTGAATTGACTTCAAAGTAAAACCAAAACTAAAAAGAAACGTTTTAATGTGACTTTGTCTGTCTGCAATTCAATAGAGCCATTTGAAATGAAAAACAAAATAAAATAAAAATGTGAGCATAACATTTTTATTAATGGCAAATGTCATTGGGAGTTTCACTTTCATGATAAGCGAATGAATCAGTGTGTGCATGCTTTCATTTGAGTGCACATAGGCTCATGCAATGTTTTTTAGCAGGCAGGGGATGACTCAATACGAAAACTCCCTGCTCCTACACCACCCAAACAGACGAGATGATGAGTTAACAAGGGAAATTTATTTTGGTCATTTGGCTAACAAGACAGATGGTATCCACCATCACCCCCCTAAATTCATCCACTGGCTACTCTCACAAAAATGGTTCTTCAATTGCTCTTCAGAAAGCTTTCTCCTTTTTTTTTTCTTTTTTTTTTTTTAAACGTCTTTGTAACATCGTTAATGTGCCTCAAACAAGCTACTTTGTGATGGTTCTTTGAGGCACCTTTGGGACTTTTTTTGTGCTAAAAGGTTCTTTGCGGAACTGAAAATGTTTTTTCTATGGCATCACTGTAGAGAACTATTTTTGGCTGCAGTTAGCACCTTTACATTTATGAGTGTACGTGTAAAAGGAGATGTGACAAGTTTAAGACACCACACGTTCACAGTGGCACAATGACACCATTTAAAAAATACAGGATGTGTTAGCAGAGACTAAAAACTAAAACATATAAAATGCTTGTGGTACTATAACAAAAGCTAAATTGTGTGTGTTACTCTGTTGATGGCCACAAAACAAAGGAACAGGTTCAAAATAGAAACTCAAATGTAAAAAAAAATGTGACAAATTCCACAATATTCTTGAGCAAAATAGAAATGAAACTAAAAACAAATGCTTGTTT